GGTGCTCCAGGCGCCCCCGCAGAGGGGCCCCGTCGGCCCCGGCAGGGACAGACCCCAGTGGGGTGGGTGGACATGCCCCCAAGGAAGCTGCAGCCCATGGAGAGCCCACCCTGGAGCAAGCTTATGCTTAAGGACCGCAGGCCCCGGGAAGGGCCCGGGCTGGAGCAGGGGAGCAGCGAGAGGAGACGGCAGTGGCAGAGAGGAGCTGCCATGGACAGACCGCAGCCCCACATTATGGCCCCATCGCCCTGCGCCACTTGAGGGGGAGGTTGAGACTGCGGATCGAGAGGTGAAGTTGAAGCTGGGAAGAAGCAGAGGGGGGAAAGGTATTACTTTAATGCTTGTCTTTTCGTTTCCCACTATCTGGCTCAGTAATTAAACATTTATTTTAATTGGCTGTAATTTAAGTTCATTATCCCCAAATCAAGTCTATTTCACCCATGATGGTAGTTGGTAAGTGATATCTCTGTCTTTGTCCAGACCCACACGTTTTCTCGTTCCTATTTTCTCCCCTCATCCCACTCAGGTGGGGGTGAGCGCACAGCTGGCCGGGGACTCTGCGGTGGCCAAAGGTGAACCTGGCACACAGGGGATGGCTCAGAGAGCTCAGACTGATGACAGCCCAGAAACACACGAATACAGCAATACACCAAGCATGAAGGAGAACAATTGAAGCAAATGAACAATGTTCACAAGGGAACAAATGGGTAAAAGCATAACTGATGAATACATTTGTATTACAAACTCAAAGGGGGTGATTTTTAATCCACAAATCTGAAAATTTCTTCTGTGAACAGAGTGGGCAAAAATATGAAAAGCGGCTAGGACAACAGAACCATTTGAAACAAAAAAACCCCAAGCATGGTCAAGCCATAACCTGGCTTATATGACAGTGAGTATCTGTAGTAGCAGTAGACAGTTTCTGTCACATGTGAAGTCTCCTATTTTTAATGAGTGAAATATTTCATCCAAAGAGAAAACCCTAGGATACTTGAGGTGGGATTGAAGGGATTAAAAAAAGTAGAATCTGAAGCAATTTGTGAATAAAAAATGAAGATTTCATCCCTAAAGCTACATTTTCTGAGACCTCCTTACAATGGCATCGAGACCACAATTTTTATTCAAACCTATAAACAATACAGTATATTATAAATAACATCAGGACCAAGGTCCTTCTTGAGCCGAATTCAGCTTGAGAATGAAGGATGCTCCCAATGAACATGTAGTAGAATAGGATCAATTTAACAACAACAAATTCATTTTAGAATTACATCAATAATGTCTACTCTGCACATCTGTTAAAGGCATAACTGAAGGCATTGTTGTTGCTGCACATTCAATAACATGGGCGTCCATCAGTGCATTTCTCCTTGCTTTCAGCTGACAGCATGTTTCAGTTGCAAAGGGGATCTTGGGTCATCATTCAAAATCCACTCTAGTGAGACCAACTACAGCCTCCTAAGTGCTTTTTGGAGTCCTTTGCTTGGTTCAAAAACTACTTCAAAGCTAAAGAAATGTCCCTCTTGAAGAAAGACATTCACTTCAAAAGTTTTGTGTGTTATATTACAGCCAGTTATTGGGAAAGGGTGGAGGATGCTGCCATCAATTCCCAGCTCAAACAAAGACTGCCTTCTAGGAGGCTGAGCAAATCCATTAGCCCCTTTTCTCCAGCAAAAGTGAAAATGTAAATCCTTACACCTGCAAAATGGAGACAAAACCATTTCCTTGCCACAGAGGAATGCACCGTGGTTACATAATGTGACTAAAATGCTCAGTGCTAAAGTGATTAGGGTCCCAGATATTATTAAAGAAAGAAATCCCATTTTCTTAGAAGATTTTTAAATAGAGGAACAAAGCTCCAGCAGATCAAATGTGGAAAATAATCCTCCACTGCCTCCACTCTCCAGCACCCTAGATAAATCTATTTATGTTTCACACCACCAATTTCTATGGCTCTCTGCTGGAAAGCTGCCAGAGCTATAGGCAAACAGAAACTGATGCAGCTACTCAGAAGGAACAGAGTATCTGGGAATAGGAAATTATCTATGTAGGAGGTTTACCAGCAATTTCAATAAATTACACTGTAAAAGATAACACCATGAAATGAAAAAGTCCTCTTTAATTAAAAAACTCCATTAAGAATAGTATGTATATACATTTAGCTTTATAAAATAAAGACAGAAGAGCTGCTAAGCAGTCCCAGAGTTGCTAAAACACTGGAAAAAGCTAGTTTTAGAAATTAGATTTCTAAATGAGATTTAGAGTTTAATGGCGTCACAACTGTCTTGAGTAATCTTGGTCCAAATAAGCACAAAAGAGATACTGGTTTTGGAGACTACAAGAAAGCCATTGATGAAAGCCTCCACACCAGCATTATACAAATTAATTGTTATTTCTCTTCCCCTTGGGTTGCAAAAAGAAGTGAGACTGTTAGTTTTAAGAATCAGCTGGGAGTTCAGAGAGTAATTTACAGAAGCACAATCTCTTCATAATTCAGGTGTGTTTAAATTAGGTGTCTGGTCCTGGTATAGACACAGTGGGGAGAGAGAGACTTTTAAGGTAATGTTCAGAGCACCTAAGGTAGTCTCTTGCTCTTGTGCCACTTTCCACTGGACCATATTTGCAACCATGGACTACAAAGGTAATATCTGGAGCCCAATATCATAATTTACAGTCCTAAAATAGCTAAAGAAAGTGAGGCAAAACAAAGATCAAGTGAGATTTTTGTTTTGTTCAAACTGGCATCAGCGATTTCTTGCATTATTGCTAGAGCATTTTTGCATCATGTCTTGTGGGAGAGTGAAAGGCATCTAATAAAGTCCATTGGATTTTTGCATAGACTATTAATTTAAATGCATTCATTTTTTCCTCCCCTTGAGCTTTAATCATCCTTCTTTGGCATTTTTTATTCTCTACCCAGTGGAACCTGGTAGGGATGTATTATTGAAATGTTTATAATTTCCTCCAGAAGAAAGTAAATACAATTAATGTAGTAGAGATATTTCAACATCTTCCACACAGCAACTGTTGTGATGTGACAATATCATTTACCAAAGCTGAGAGAAGGTAACAGGGGTGTGTTGCGAGCAGTGTGGTGGATGAAGTTGCCCAAGTGCAAGAGACCTGATTTCTGGGTGTAGGAGACCTGATTTCTCTGCTGCTGGTCTACCAAGGGACTTAGATGCACCCAGTGAAAAGACTTTCTTACTCTCTCTGTAAGTAAATTGAAGTTAAAGATACTGAAATGCACCTTAAGTCCTTCATGCTCTTTTAAAGAGGACCAAATGTTGTCACAGTTTTACGATATCCCAAAAAGTCACCCACAAATGAAAGACCAGCTTCTGTCTGGAGAAGAATCCCAGGTGGTAAACATTGGGCTTTCGTGAGCAGCTTTTCATTGTGTCTTTCTTTAGCAAGGGAACAAGCAGCTTCAGGTAACAAGCCATTTCCAAGAAAATTAATAGGACTGCTCATCCAACTAATTCACTGCTCCTCTTGGTAAAATCAGGCATCCAGGATTAAAACCTAAATTATTCTTTACATTCAGTTTTCACTTTTAAAATCAGAACTTTCCAGGTCTTCTACCAGTTACCACTATGTTTTTATACTTTCCGTGAATAAATAAATTAATCTTTCTGTGCCTTTACTTAGAAGCTGATATTGTCAAGGTGTTAAGGGACTTCTTAATGGAATCCGGTGTACTCACATTTATACTTAAAACACTTTCAAAGGTGGTAAAATCAGGAACCTGAGGTCCTTATTATAGTCTGTGGAGTGTGAGTGACATTTTAGCATGAAAGTGGGAACACATCATTTAGATGCCTGAGAAGGTGAACTGACTTCACGCAACAATAAAACAGAAGGCTGCTAGATTCAGAGCATGGGTTTACAGACTCATTGGCCAGCATCACTTCCATGGGATAGCATTGCCCCCGCAAAACTCATATGCTCCACAGTATGGCCTGCAGTGCCCAAGCCAAATTAGCACATGCCTCAACTCCTCTGTAATAAGGATCCTGGCAGTGGATCCCGTCTGCTGACAACACACTTCAGAGGAGAGGGCAGCTTGTTCTAACAAGGATGCATTTTGTTCTGAAGCACAGGGTTCTTGTTCCCCAAAGCACCTCAGAACAAGGAAGGACTGAATGTTCAAACTGAAGTTCCCTCTTCATCAGGTAAATCTCTCAGTGAATCTTTACACTGTCAATACTGTACCTGCTTCATGGCTGAATGGAGGTTTCTAGTCTACCTGGATGCCAGCCTGGCAAATCTATCCAGGGCTAACTGATGCTCCAGGGAGCAGTTTCAACTTGGCAAAAAGGTGCTCTCAGAAATACAGCAATCATCATCTTGAAAAAATAAACCAGCAAAACCCAAGCATTCAATTGTCTGGGTAGCAGGTGTTTGAAAAATCTTGTTGTTGTAGGCAATAACTGTAACAAAGAACAGAATTGCTGCTTGTGGAGTAGAAGGAAAAGAGTTCAAAATGAATGAACACAACCCATTGGTTGCAGTAACCTTTATGAAAAATCTGCTTTCTAATTCCAGAGAACCTCTAATCCACTAATAGAGAAGTATATGCTCTATTTTTAGCTGTATATAACATAATGGATAGCTATAATTACTTCAACAGAATAACGAACGTTATCAACCAATACGTACTGTAAGTCAGGCAAGTTATTTATTTTGTCAGCAGTTGGAACATACAGCTGTTCATGTTTGTTAGTATTTCACATTCATCATTACATTTATTTGCTTACTTACAAATTGGGATGAAGTGCTACTTCTTTTTCCAGCCAAATAAATTACAAACTGCAGATATCACGAACGTTGTACAGAAATATGAATTACACATGAATGGGATACAAGGATGAGAGGGAGGGGAGACAGAAAGAGGTAATCGCTCTTAAAGATTTAACCCAAATTCTGCTGAGAAAGAAGATCTGAATGCTTGAAAGTCTGTGCTGCATGTTGTGTACACAGTAACGTATCCGCTCGGTTTAATATTTGCCAGGCAAATCACAAAGCCCTCTCAGGCTACAGCAGCATATAATTTCCTTGAATGTTTTCCTGAGCTCCTGACTCCGGAATGCATAGATAAGTGGATCGATGATGGAATTGCACATGATGAGGATGAGGTAGAAGTTAAAGTGGGACATGAAGCACACACAGTAAGGGTTGTAGGGGCAGGAGATGTAGAAAATCAGGTGCAGGAAAAATGGAGCCCAGCACACAACAAACACTCCAATCAGGATGGTGAGAGTGATGGCCCCTTTCATGTTGGCCCCTTGGCGAATTGGGCCAGTCCCTGGAAGAACAGCAATCTTTTTGATATGCATCCGAGCCATCATGAACATGTGGACATAGAGGGATGCCATGAGAATGAGCATAGTGAAGAACATGCTAATAAGGCAGATGATGACAACACTGCTGTCAGAGTAAATGATGAACAAAATGCCTGAGACTGTGCAAGCAGCCCAGATGCATGTGATGATGACCCCTACGCGCTTCACGGTCATGATATTATGGTACTGGAGGGCGTAAAAGATAGTAAAATACCTGTCCACTGCTATTGAGAGAAGGCTGCAAATTGATGCAAGCAAGGAACTGCAAATCACTGAGTCAATGACATTGTCAATGTTTATGGTAAAGCTCTGTGCGTCTGTATCTGTATTGTTTAGCAGCGTGATGACAATAGTTTCTGATCCATTAGATACACTCACTAGCATGTCAGCCACTGCCAAGCTACAGATGAAGAAGTACATGGGCGAATGGAGGTTCTTGTTCTTGGCTATCGCCACAATGACCAAGACGTTCTCCAGCAAGCTGATGATGCCCAGAGTCACAAACACTTCGGGGGATACAAAGAGTTGCTCGTAGCAGCCTCCCGAGGAGTGGCCCTTTGCATTGGGCTCACTGGCACCTCCGTGCAGTCCATAGCTGTGGTTCCAGAAATGGAGCGGCTGGAGTGTCCCACGGTGCTGGGTGAAATTCATCTTATGGAGAGCCCCTTTCAGCTTCCTGCTTTTAAAACTCCTGTTCCTTTTGCATTCCTTTGAAAACCTTCTTTGGCTTTTCAGCTTGGGAAGAAAAGAAAAATAAGCCAGCACCGAGGCAGGCAGCAGTTCAGAACACTTTGACTGCTGTTACAAAATAAGGTTTCAAACTCAGAAATGCTGGTTTACTCTCTCACAGATGCAGTTTCTGATCGTCATCACATTTACCTTGGTGATCTATATCACAGAGTCCCAACAGTCTGTAAATTTGCATCAGATTCTCCCCTACGGTCAGTTCCTGTTTAGTTCACTGGTACACTGCAAGGTTTTTTTGGTTCCCTTCCATTAAGAGAGGCAAACATAAAATGCCCAAGTGACTGCTGCGGAGCAGAAACTAATTTCAAACTGCAAGCACCAGTCTCGCTGTCAGACAGTGCATGCCGACTGCCTGTTTTATGGTGTGTGGAGGAGAAAAATATTCAGGGCACTCTCCGCCTCTGCTTTGCCTTCCAGCCAATGGGGTTCGGCAGCCACAGAAAGTCGAGGGGCTGCCGATTCTGAGCCTCTCTGAAACATCACACAGCACAGCAGATTCAGATGCAGCACGAGCTAGCAGTAGCTAAGAGGAAAGCAGATGGGCTACCAGAGATTTGTTTCCCTTCTCTAACTTCTCAGAATAGTATTTTGATACTGATTTTTAATTAGCAATCTTACAGAACTGTACTAAATCTTACAGAATTCCTGCAGCTGAACTGATGGCTTTTTATTTTTCAGGCTGTAATTTACTGTAATTTACTCTTGCCCCTTCTGTGGCACAAAGTTGCTCTGCCTTGTATGTGTGGCAAAATAGGAAAAGGACAAGGAAGCAAGACAATACTTATTTCCTTTTGGTTCTCTCTCCCAGATGTCCCTCACGTTGCTTAGTTGTCCATTTGCAAGATGTGTTGTTGCAAAGTTGCAGTATACTCTCTGAGCTTCTGACAGTTTTTTAAGAAATAGAGACCATCTAACGATCAAAAACAGAACAAGGACCCGAAGTCACAAAATGGCTTAATAAATTGTCCTGAAGAAAGTAGTTTTTCTGAGGTAATAGCTGTCTTCATCATCTTATTTCCAGGACAGAAAAGATGATACAGTTGATTGGAAAAGCCCTGTCGCCATTAAGATGTTGGGTAGAAAAAGAAAAGTCAGTATTTAGAATAGATGAAGGAAAGCAACAGGAGATGAAGTTGCAACTTGTCAGAAATGGGGCTCATACAATAGTAATGACACAAAGGTGTCAATAAATCTCCTAAAAGTCCATCTGGAGGGATGTTGCTGTGCATGAGCTGAAAGTCAGCTTGTGTGCAGTCTGCCAGGGAAGGTCCTTGAGAAGAAGGAGGAATAGAAAGGCAAATGAATATGAAGAGACAGGGACAAATGTGGTTTTGCTGTTTCATCTTCAAGCATTGCAAGTGAGGATTGAAATACAAATATACTGAACAAAGCCTAAAGTACAGGTAGATTTTAAAGCTATGGAAACTATAGGAAAGTCAGTCACTACACCTGATAATAGTGTTTGCAAGGAAGACATTTGAAGGAACATTTCCAGACAACTACCAGGAAGGCTATCGAGGGGTGTCTGTCTGTTGTAAGAGTTTATTTTCTTCAAACCCTCAAACTTTTTTCAACTTCCATGCATTAGCTGGTTTCAAAATGAACAGCTATGAAGAGATAAAGGAATACAGCATGCCTGTGGAAGCACAACTATCTGCATTCAACATCCCAGCACCAGGGTGAAGCATGATTTTACTTTCACATTTGGATTTGGTAAAGGTCTATGGTTATAAAGACCTATATCAAAAGAAAAGCCACAGCCCATTATTTCTGGGCCTTTCCCCAGACAGATTGCTTCATAAAGCTGAAACATAAACACCCAAGACAAACAAAATAACTTATGGCACAGGAAATCCCACATTTATCAGTTTGGAAAACATCATTCCCCAGCAGCATCCTTGCAATGAAAGAATAGCTTGCTGCTGAGAGGGTTAGATTTACTTTCCTATCAAGACATAATGCAAGCCAGGATTCAAAAAGATTTATTATCTTGTTACTGATCTCTGGACCAGTATACACTAACTCCTGCCACAGACAGGACTTGCATACCTTACCCTTAAGGACATAGCTACAATGTAAGAGCAGGGAGAAAATTTATATAAAGACTGACATGGGAGAGCAGCATCTCCCCAGACAAGGTATTTTTCTATACCTGCAGCCAGAAATGTGTAATCTTCAAGTTATCCCAGGGAAGCAGCCACTCAGCGTTCCTTCCTTCATCACCTCCCACTATGCTGGAAGTGCCCACAGCACAGGGATTTCGCCCCTTCACCTACTTTGGTGGAGCTAGAGCAGGAGAGACTGGCAAGAACAGAGAGCATCTCCCTCCAGAGGATGCAGCCCTGTTTGCTCAAGCTGTCTGTCTGTCTATCCCTCTTCTGGCTCCTCCCTTTCTCTGCACAATATCTCTGTCCTCATCCCCATTTATCTTTGCATTTACTATCTCTCTTCACCCAGAAGCTGTCCAAACAATGCTCCGTGCTTGATTTTTCACTGGACGTGGTCATAAAAATGCAACATTGGGTTATAACAATGGAAAGAGAAGGATACTTCTCTGCTACCCACAGCCATCACCCACCTCAAATTTTCTACTTATGCTCTTCATTCTTGGGGCAAGGTTGTTTTGGTGTGTTAGCCATTCATATTTGTGGGATGAAGGTACATGACTGGAAGCAATAGAGTCATGGTAGCTTAGCAACTCAGTTGAGGCACTGAAGAAGTGATGTACTGTTAGCCTGCTCTGACTAGAAGGTAAAACAAGGTATATGAGTACTTTTTTAAGTGAGAAATGTATGTGCATCTAAATATTTCTATGGTAGAAAATGGATACATGCCTCTGGCTCCGACTTAACAAAAACCAAACCATATAATGTTAAAATTGTTTGAAGCATCCTAGCACTCTCCTGCCTGAAAATGTGTTAATATTTCCATTTCTTTAGTCATAGAAAACAGGAGTATTGTTTAATGTACATTGCCTAAAGTGTTTCTTAAATTTTAAAACCCAAAGCTGAGCTAATATTTCTGTCAAAAGTGGTGGCCAGCAAGCTTTTCAGCACCATGGAAAAACAGCCATGGCTGCAGAAAACTATAAACTGGTAACAGTGGCGTACTAATATGAGCTCCAGCTCTTATGATGAGTAACATCAGCAAAGATTTGATACCAGCCTCCCCTTTCAACATAATGAGGAATCATACGATAAATAAATATTTGGTTTGACCTGTCTTAAAAAATGTCCTTTTTAAGACTTCCTTCTACACAATTCCCCCATGTCCTATGCTCAGTTTCGAGCTACCCCCCAAGACCCACCCTCCAGACAGGGTTACAGCCATCTCTACCTCACAACATTTTGAAGAGGTGAATTACCCTCTCACAGTTGCTTTTGAAAGTCAGAAGAAAGTGTTCACTGGAATCAATAATAAGCAGATGTAATCCCAATAGTGATACAGAAGACAGGCAGAGTCATAAGCAGGCTCTATAGGTCCACTATGAGAGAAAAAGAAAGGTAGAGGGAGTTAGCATGGGTGATCATCTGCTCAAAAGCAGTCTGAGATCTATTTGAATCCCCATGTCCATGTTCCTCAAGCACGGTGATGATATTTACCACTTCAACAGCTGTCAGTAGAAACAGAGGAGGGGCTGTGAGAACCTGGAAAGAAGGAGGAGCCAAAAAAGCAGATTGTTGACACTTAATCAGTCCCTCAGAGTCATGTGAGTGTGCCAGTACTGTGCAAAGGGTGCCGCTGCATTTACATACATAAACATAATTTAAAGACATTTTTGATATATGTGCTCAGATCCAGTTTTTCAGTGCATTCAAAAACTTCAGGTCGATAACACAGTAAAAAGACTGTGGCATATTTTAGCATGCTGATTTTGAAATATAAAAGGATCCAGGCAATTAAACTTTGGAAGCTTCTATGAGATTTTAGCCTGCATCATAACTCTGTATTAGAGCAAAGGCAAATTCCACCTAACATGCAAAATACTGACCAAAACCAGTTCAAATAACGCAATGTACTTTTTCATCTTACCCACAGATGTCATTGGAAGAAACATTTCTTTGATTCTTTCTAGCTCCAGTGAATTAGCACATGAGCAATATGGAGACACTTGTTTGTTCCCGTATTTGGACTGGTAGTTTTTTTTAAGTTGGTCCTTGAACATATTCTTTTATTTTCCAGCTAGTCTGATACAAGCACGAAGAGACATATCAATACAGACCTGACTATCATAAATTTCAGATGCTACCCTAGGATATGTAGGAATACAGAAGAGAACTGACACTGACTTTGGATGAAGTAAAGGTGATGTCTGTTGCAGATAGCAGAGGAAAAACACATAGTAGAAGGTCACTAGTTCTGCAGTACAGAACTTCAGATATCTATGTGTAATGTTACTTCACAGAAAAAAATATGATTGTAGACCAAATAAATTATTATTCTTTGTGCTTGTACAAACAAGTTCAAGGAAGTAATGAATCAGTGGGAGGTCTTATTCAATCAAGCATAAATTGTGTAGTCAAGCTTCTATACAGAGTCAAAGAAATGTTGGTTGGATTGAACTTCTGGAAGTCACCTCATCCAGCTTCTGCTTGGATTGCCACCAGTATTGGATCAGATCAGCTGTGGCATAGTCTAGCCAAGTCTTGAAATCTTCCAAGAATGGAGAGCCCACAGCCTCCCTGGATAACCTGTTCTGCACTGATTTTCTAGTTAAAAACTTTTTACTAATCTGAATCCCCCAAGACTAGGTTACATTACGTACAGAAGAGGTAGAGGGAGCTGGACCAGTAAAGTTTGTTGAAGAGGCTAAAGGGTGATCTAATAGCAGATGAATCGAATCTAATAGTTAATAAAAGAGAAGGCATAAAGTTTATAGGTCCAAGCTCCTTTTGGTAGTGCCAGGAAATATAAGAAGAAGCAGCAGTCACAGATTGTGGCTTGGGTATGTAACCTAAGTTCCTGCCCATCATGACAGCCCTTCGATGAACCATCTTCAGTTTCTCCACATCCCTCTTGAACTGCGGGGGCCCAAAGTTGAACACTGTTCTGGGCACAGCCTCACCCATGACAAGTACAGGGGGATAATAACCTACTTCAATCTGTCAGTTGTGCTTCTTGTACTGCAGCTGAGTGCTCCATTTGCAATGATAGTGGACTTTTGGCTTATATTCAGCTTGACATTCAACATAACCCCTTTGCTGTCCTTTTCAGCAAAGCTGCTCCTTAGGCAGTCAGTGCCTATTGTGTATTGATGCAAAGAACTTTGTACTTTTTCTTCACCTTCATAAA